TTCTGAACCGAAGCAGCAGAAGAATGATCTAGCTGGTCCAACCGAGAACACCTTTTCACGTCTCATCAGGAGCTGTGATGGCCGAGTGGTTAAGGCGTTGGACTTGAAATCCAATGGGTATTACCCGCGCAGGTTCAAATCCTGCTCACAGCGACAGCTTCGCATCCCAAAGACAGAAAACTGATCTAAGGAGACCAACTGAGAACTGCTTGTTATCTGTCCTGAGGAGCTGTGATGGTGGGGAGTTTAAGGCTTTGGACTTCAAATACAAGTCCACTGGCTGGTTCAAATCCGGCATACAGCGTTGTGTTAAAAATGAAGCTGATGGTGTATATGCAGTTCCGTTGCTCACTAGCTCATGGCTAAGTTGAAGTGAGATTGCAATATGACAATCCTCTATGAGGTGGTTATTACAAGTGATTTATGTTGGAAAGCTTCCCGAAAAAAAATATGGCTGAATCCAAGTGTACCAACTGAGAACTGTGATGGCTGAGAGGTTAAGGATTTATGTTGGGAAGCTTTTCAAAACAAATACAGTAAAATAATCCTTCTTGATCCAAGTGGGCCAACTTGAAACTGCTTGTATCTCCGCGCAGGTTCGAATCCTGCTCACAGCGTGACTTTTCAATGGAATTCTATGGTATACATTCATGTCTGTTGCAGACTTGATCAAAGCTGAATTGTGATTCCAATATGATAGTCTTCTATGAGGTGGTAAAAGAATGTGTTATATACTGGGATGTTTCTTTAATTCGCTCCATGTCACTTGAGTGTCCATTGGCTAACCAGAGTTTTGACCATAACAGCCAAATATGAAGCTTTACTAAACTTCAACAGGGAACAACTAATCCAAGATGACCAATGAAAGTCCCATTGTTTTGTGCCAAGACGAGCTTTGATAGCCGAGACGTTAACTCGTTCCGACTTAGAATCCAATGAGGTGTCCACCGCCAAGTTCAAATTCTGCTCACAGCGTTGCATAAGAAAGGAAGCTGATGGAGTACATGCCGATCTGTAGAGCACTGAATCGAACTAAGGGGAATTGAAATTTCAATGTGACAGTCCTCAATCAGGTGGTTAAAACAAGTGCTTGACGTTGGGAAGCTTTCTGAACCGAAGCAGCAGAAGAATGATCTAGCTGGTCCAACAGAGAACACCTTTTCATGTCACATTAGGAGCTGTGATGGCCGAGTGGTTAAGGCGTTGGACTTGAAATCCCATGGGTATTACCCGCGCAGGTTCAAATCCTGCTCACAGCGAAACCTTGCATCACAAAGACAGGAAACTGATCTAAGGGGACCAACTGAGAACTGCTTGTTATCTGGCCTGAGGAGCTGTGACGGTGGGGAATTTAAGGCTTTGGACTTCAAATACAAGTCCACTGCCCGGTTCAAATCCGGCTTACAGCATTGTGTTAAAAATTAAGCCGATGGTGTACATGCAGTTCTGTTGCTCACTAGCTCGTGGTTAAGTTGAAGTGAGATTGCAATATGACAGTCCTCTAGGAGGTGGTTATTACAAGTGCTTTATGTTGGAAAGCTTCCCGAAAAAAGACAGCAGAATCCAAGTGTACCAACTGAGAACTGTGATGGCCGAGAGGTTAAGGATTTATGTTGGGAAGCTTTTCAAAACAAATACAGTAAAAGAATCCTTCTTGATCCAAGTGGGCCAACTTGAAACTGCTTGTATCCCCGCGCAGAATCCAATGGGTATTGTATTAACTGTATGTATGTACTGAGTATGTATTAACTGTGACTGTGTCGCTGACCCTTTTGAATTTGTTTGCGCAAGATGTTGATCGATGCTGCACAGCAGGAGACCGCGGACAGTGTTGACGTGAATGACCCCTTGCCCTCCACTTGTGACACTGGGACACAGTGCAATGTGAAGCCCCGTGGAAGGTCTCACGGTAAATGTTGGGTATTTTGGGTGGTCGATATGCTGTCTAAAACATACGTTTCCAAAATCTATGCATACAGGACATTTCCATACACAGATGAAATTAATACATAGCCTATGTCAAAACATAACCACGTAGATTTGCCATGATTGTCATATGTTTGGGTATGTTTACTACCTCTGCCACAGCTGTGCAGGTGAACCTGAAGCCCAAGATGGTCAGCGTGGGGACACAGACCCAAACTCCCCCCCCCCTCACTAGTCCTGAACAGACCGATGATGAAGATGATCCGTCTGTCATCAGCGATTCATCGTGGGTGCCTGGAGGACATATGTCTGAGGATGAGGAGGAATTGTGTGAGGAGGAGCCATCTCACACCTGTGACCCCCACCAAAAGTGAGATAATTTAAAGCCAACATAGACCAACTTTGCATTTTCCTTTTTGTGTATCTGGTAGAATTGAATTCCCCCCGCTCTCTTTTTTGTTGTAGTGGCATTGACAAATTCATTGTTTGCCAAGAGGTGCTCATGAGCCTGTTTGCCCTCTGTCCGGCCTGTTGTGAGAAGTCGGATAGTAGGTTTTGTATACACAGCAGGCCATATCTGATTAGAAAATCAGAATATCTAATTAAAATGTGATAGCCCTGACTGTCTGCCCACATTCAAATTTGTCTTGCCAGTTAATTTACAATGTATGTACCAGGCTTTAGGCTGTGGGTTTATGATGCCATCATAAACATCATGTGTGTTTCATTGAAAACATTTGACCAGTAATGTACCGTACTTACTCTATATTGAAACCTGATATACTGTTGATTACTCTTTTTTTTTTCTTTTTTTTTTACATATCTAGGTCTGTGCATCATGTGGCTACCATCGTTTCTGGCAAAACCAGCCAATGCTCCACAGGAACATGGTGTCTCGTATTTCGGATCCCACAATGTGCTCCAATGCTCACATATCCCAACCAATACCTTTAAACATTTATCATTCATAGAGTTACATTTATGCAAAATACCAATTAATTATGGGTGTGATAAATGCCCACAAAGTTGAAAGTTTAACTAGATACAAGACAGATTGTACTTGACAGTATGGATATGATCTACATCCAAGTCCAAAGCTGTTATATAAACAGAATTAGAATTCAAGTTTAGGCATTGTACAGATTCAAACAGACATTAATTGTTATTGCGATACATAGTCTCCCTAGAAATATTTTAAAGCATAAAACTGGCTAATGCAGAACCAGCAGTTAGCTAGCAACGGCTTGGTGGTGGTTTTCTGCATGCTGCATGTTATGTTTTCTCTTTGTGTGCTGTTTATTGCTTTGTTTTTTTTACTTAGTTGTTGGTGGTGGGACCTCGCTGCTCTTGTGCCTGTCTTTAGTCACTGTACCCCATGTGGTTTTGCAAGGGGTTCTGCATGCTGCATGTCTGCCTGCTGCTCATTGTGTGTGCTGTGGTTTTATTTCTTTTGTTTGCATGAAATGTCTTTTATACAATTCAACATAGCTTACCAATCATTGTACCTGGTAGTGCCTTGTCTACAGGTCCTTTTCGGATTCTGATTTTCGCACAAGATTACAATCAAGGAAATGTTGCAAAAATGCTCCCTTTACATCTCCATTTGACACTTTTCCCCATAATTCCTTGTAGTATTAGTAGGAAAGGGAGTAAGGAATGATAACCCAAAAAGGACCTCTGTGTGTGCTTTTGTCTTTGGTCTTGCTCTATGTGCTTTTGATATCACTGCATGTATGTATGCATGCATGCATGCATATTAGTGTGTGTGTGAGAGAGAGAGCTGACCCTCGGGTAAGACCACACTTACATGTTGACCACACTTAAATACATGTTGATTCTTTTTGTGCCTAACCATTTTTTGTGATTTGTTTACTTTATCAGGAACTTTCCAACCTGTCTCTTTGTTCAGTAATATACTTGGGATAAACTAATAAACTGTTTTAATTGGAATGTACGTGTTCTGTGTATTTTATCACATTTTAAGGGCCGTTGAGCGATCACAACAGAACAAGCATGACATAATTCTTGAACTGAAAAATACTTGATTTTATTCATGTTGTGCCAATACGGTTTTTATTCATTGTCATCCAAACGAGGCCATTGAAAGCCATGATAGGTCTCATCACCACTCTGAAATTGTAGCCTGATGGTTGAAACCAGACAGGAGGGTAGAGGCTTCCTTCTATGAACACCGAGAACGCCATAAGGCCAGCGTACAGCCTGCCTGTACGCTGTGTACCGGTATTGCCTAGGGATAAGTAGGTTGGAAAATTAATTGTATACCTGTTTGTCATGCATGTTTATGCAACACATCTCTAGTCTAGTAATGGTAAAATAAACAAACAATGAACATACTCGTGCCTGCTGGCTTGAAGGGGACCATGATCCTGCCTGAAATGTGAGTAGGTTATCTTTAGCACAAACGGATTCAGGCAGCATGCCTCAAATCCTGGATGCTGAGTTAGGAACGTTACATCTGATGGCCGCGGGGTGAGCTCCTCGACCAAAACGCACTCACTTCCCTACAACACAAGCTCTCCACCACAGTTTCCATGGGACGACACCGCCCGCACAGACACGCTTACTACTCTCTCCCTCTCCCGGTAAGCAGTACCCTGATGGGGAAAAAGTGTTATTGTATGCACTGCTGTTCATAGACCGCTCCAGCGCTCGTTGCTGCGATCTAAATGGTAGCTAGCGACTGACCAGCACACTTCGCCAACTCTCCACTCATTCTCCTCTGACCATGCATTTCATTGTCTTTGACGGCCATCGGCTCTCATTCGCCCTCTCACTTCTGACCGGTTCGAAATTATATGGCTATGCTAACATAAATGTTATTTGTGGGTCTTGCCACCTCTTCCTCATCCCAGTTAGACGCCATACTTCTAGTACAAGGCTGAGGCTACTTCCACCACGTCTCACCGATGTGACGTCATCGCCGAATTGCGCTAAAAATAACCGTTACGACCAAAAACTACACTTTAACACAATTTTGGAGACATTTCTAACTTCATATACATATCTTGAGTGCTTTATGTACCCATTAATCGAAAGTGGTGTTTAACCTGCACCATGGCCTTTAAGGCGTTGGACTCGAAATCCAATGGGGTATCCCCGCGCAGGTTCGAATCTTGCTCACAGCGTGACTTTTCTATGATATACATTCATGTCTGTTGCAGACATGATCTAAGCTGAATTGTGATTGCATTATGATAGTCTTCTATGAGGTGGTAAACGAATGTGTTATATACTGGGATGTTTCTTTAATTCGCTCCATGTCACTTAAGTGTCCATTGGCTAACCGGAGTTTTGACCATAACAGCCAAATATGAAGCTTTACTAAACTTCAACAGGGAACAACTAATCCAAGATGACCAATGAAAGTCCCATTGTTTTGTGCCAAGACGAGCTTTGATAGCCGAGACGTTAACTCGTTCGACTTAGAATCCAATGAGGTGTCCACCGCCAAGTTCAAATTCTGCTCACAGCGTTGCATAAGAAAGGAAGCTGATGGAGTAAATGCCGATCTGTAGAGCACTGAATCGAACTAAGGGGAATTGAAATTTCAATGTGACAGTCCTCAATCAGGTGGTTAAAACAAGTGCTTGACGTTGGGAAGCTTTCTGAACCGAAGCAGCAGAAGAATGATCTAGCTGGTCCAACCGAGAACACCTTTTCACATCTCATCAGGAGCTGTGATGGCCGAGTGGTTAAGGCGTTGGACTTGAAATCCAATGGGTGTTACCCGCGCAGGTTCAAATCCTGCTCACAGCGACAGCTTCGCATCCCAAAGACAGAAAACTGATCTAAGGAGACTAACTGAGAACTGCTTGTTATCTGTCCTGAGGAGCTGTGATGGTGGGGAGTTTAAGGCTTTGAACTTCAAATACAAGTCCACTGGCTGGTTCAAATCTGGCATACAGCGTTGTGTTAAAAATGAAGCTGAAGGTGTATATGCAGTTCCGTTGCTCACTAGCTCATGGCTAAGTTGAAGTGAGATTGCAATATGACAATCCTCTATGAGGTGGTCATTACAAGTGATTTATGTTGGAAAGCTTCCCGAAAAAAAATATGGCTGAATCCAAGGCCGTGTTCCGATAGCCGTACTACCCGTACTTAGTATACTTAGTTTGAGTACGTAGGGTGTTCCGATTATGATCGCGGCGAAAAGAAGTGTACTTGAAAGGACCCGTATGTGTACTCAAAAAGGCCAAAATGCTGAGTGTGCTACGGGGTACACTATGCGTACTCAACGGCAGCCATCTTAGCTACGTAGCGGAAGAGGCGGAGCCGCGCTCAGAGAACGTCTAATGAATTCACGTGTTTGTTGGGTGACGCGGCCGCGCAGCTGATGTCATTTCCGTTAAGTGCGCCACAGAGTATTGCATTTGGAACAGCACTAACATCTGAAGCTCTGCGTACCTATTGAGTGCGGATAGTTAAGTGTACTCACGGAAGTTAGTGTACTCACAGATATCGGAACACGGCCCAAGTGTACCAACTGAGAACTGTGATGGCCGAGAGGTTAAGGATTTATGTTGGGAAGCTTTTCAAAACAAATACAGTAAAATAATCCTTCTTGATCCAAGTGGGCCAACTTGAAACTGCTTGTATCTCCGCGCAGGTTCGAATCCTGCTCACAGCGTGACTTTTCAATGGAATTCTATGGTATACATTCATGTCTGTTGCAGACTTGATCAAAGCTGAATTGTGATTCCAATATGATAGTCTTCTATGAGGTGGTAAAAGAATGTGTTATATACTGGGATGTTTCTTTAATTCGCTCCATGTCACTTGAGTGTCCATTGGCTAACCAGAGTTTTGACCATAACAGCCAAATATGAAGCTTTACTAAACTTCAACAGGGAACAAATAATCCAAGATGACCAATGAAAGTCCCATTGTTTTGTGCCAAGACGAGCTTTGATAGCCGAGACGTTAACTCGTTCCGACTTAGAATCCAATGAGGTGTCCACCGCCAAGTTCAAATTCTGCTCACAGCGTTGCATAAGAAAGGAAGCTGATGGAGTACATGCCGATCTGTAGAGCACTGAATCGAACTAAGGGGAATTGAAATTTCAATGTGACAGTCCTCAATCAGGTGGTTAAAACAAGTGCTTGACGTTGGGAAGCTTTCTGAACCGAAGCAGCAGAAGAATGATCTAGCTGGTCCAACCGAGAACACCTTTTCACGTCACATTAGGAGCTGTGATGGCCGAGTGGTTAAGGCGTTGGACTTGAAATCCAATGGGTATTACCCGCGCAGGTTCAAATCCTGCTCACAGCGACAGTTTCACATCCCAAAGACAGAAAACTGATCTAAGGAGACCAACTGAGAACTGCTTGTTATCTGTCCTGAGGAGCTGTGATGGTGGGGAGTTTAAGGCTTTGGACTTCAAATACAAGTCCACTGGCTGGTTCAAATCCGGCATACAGCGTTGTGTTAAAAATGAAGCTGATGGTGTATATGCAGTTCCGTTGCTCACTAGCTCATGGCTAAGTTGAAGTGAGATTGCAATATGACCATCCTCTATGAGGTGGTCATTACAAGTGATTTATGTTGGAAAGCTTCCCGAAAAAAAATATGGCTGAATCCAAGTGTACCAACTGAGAACTGTGATGGCCGAGAGGTTAAGGATTTATGTTGGGGAGCTTTTCAAAACAAATACAGTAAAATAATCCTTCTTGATCCAAGTGGGCCAACTTGAAACTGCTTGTATCTCCGCGCAGGTTCGAATCCTGCTCACAGCGTGACTTTTCAATGGAATTCTATGGTATACATTCATGTCTGTTGCAGACTTGATCAAAGCTGAATTGTGATTCCAATATGATAGTCTTCTATGAGGTGGTAAAAGAATGTGTTATATACTGGGATGTTTCTTTAATTCGCTCCATGTCACTTGAGTGTCCATTGGCTAACCAGAGTTTTGACCATAACAGCCAAATATGAAGCTTTACTAAACTTCAACAGGGAACAACTAATCCAAGATGACCAATGAAAGTCCCATTGTTTTGTGCCAAGACGAGCTTTGATAGCCGAGACGTTAACTCGTTCCGACTTAGAATCCAATGAGGTGTCCACCGCCAAGTTCAAATTCTGCTCACAGCGTTGCATAAGAAAGGAAGCTGATGGAGTACATGCCGATCTGTAGAGCACTGAATCGAACTAAGGGGAATTGAAATTTCAATGTGACAGTCCTCAATCAGGTGGTTAAAACAAGTGCTTGACGTTGGGAAGCTTTCTGAACCGAAGCAGCAGAAGAATGATCTAGCTGGTCCAACCGATAACACCTTTTCACGTCACATTAGGAGCTGTGATGGCCGAGTGGTTAAGGCGTTGGACTTGAAATCCAATGGGTATTACCCGCGCAGGTTCAAATCCTGCTCACAGCGACAGCTTTGCATCACAAAGACAGAAAACTGATCTAAGGGGACCAACTGAGAACTGCTTGTTATCTGGCCTGAGGAGCTGTGACGGTGGGGAGTTTAAGGCTTTGGACTCCAAATACAAGTCCACTGCCCGGTTCAAATCCGGCTTACAGCATTGTGTTAAAAATGAAGCCGATGGTGTACATGCAGTTCTGTAGCTCACTAGCTCGTGGTTAAGTTGAAGTGAGATTCCAATATGACAATCCTCTAGGAGGTGGTTATTACAAGTGCTTTATGTTGGAAAGCTTCCCGAAAAAAGACAGCAGAATCCAAGTGTACCAACTGAGAACTGTGATGGCCGAGAGGTTAAGGATTTATGTTGGGAAGCTTTTCAAAACAAATACAGTAAAAGAATCCTTCTTGATCCAAGTGGGCCAACTTGAAACTGCTTGTATCCCCGCGCAGAATCCAATGGGTATTACCCGCGCAGGTTCAAATCCTGCTCACAGCGACAGCTTTGCATCCCAAAGACAGAAAACTGATCTAAGGAGACCAACTGAGAACTGCTTGTTATCTCACCTGAGGAGCTGTAATGGTGGGGAGTTTAAGGCTTTGGACATCAAATACAAGTCCACTGGCTAGTTCAAATCCGGCTTACAGCGTTGTGTTAAAAATGAAGCCGATGGTGTATATGCAGTTCCGTTGCTCACTAGCTCGTGGCTAAGTTGAAGTGAGATTGCAATATGACAATCCTCTATGAGGTGGTTATTACAAGTGCTTTATGTTGGAAAGCTTCCCGAAAAAAGACAGCAGAATCCAAGTGTACCAACTGAGAACTGTGATGGCCGAGAGGGTAAGGCTTTATGTTGGGAAGCTTTTCAAAACAAATACATTAGAAGAATCCTTCTTGATCCAAGTGGGCCAACTGGAAACTGCTAGTTAGGTTTTGAGGTGCTGTGATGGCCGAGAGGTTAAGGCGTTGGACTCGAAATCCAATGGGGTATCCCCGCGCAGGTTCGAATCCTGCTCACAGCGTGACTTTTCTATGATATACATTCATGTCTGTTGCAGACATGATCTAAGCTGAATTGTGATTGCATTATGATAGTCTTCTATGAGGTGGTAAAAGAATGTGTTATATACTGGGATGTTTCTTTAATTCGCTCCATGTCACTTAAGTGTCCATTGGCTAACCAGAGTTTTGACCATAACAGCCAAATATGAAGCTTTACTAAACTTCAACAGGGAACAACTAATCCAAGGTGACCAATGAAAGTCCCATTGTTTTGTGCCAAGACGAGCTTTGATAGCCGAGACGTTAACTCGTTCGACTTAGAATCCAATGAGGTGTCCACCGCCAAGTTCAAATTCTGCTCACAGCTTTGCATAAGAAAGGAAGCTGATGGAGTAAATGCCGATCTGTAGAGCACTGAATCGAACTAAGGGGAATTGAAATTTCAATGTGACAGTCCTCAATCAGGTGGTTAAAACAAGTGCTTGACGTTGGGAAGCTTTCTGAACCGAAGCAGCAGAAGAATGATCTAGCTGGTCCAACCGAGAACACCTTTTCACGTCTCATCAGGAGCTGTGATGGCCGAGTGGTTAAGGCGTTGGACTTGAAATCCAATGGGTATTACCCGCGCAGGTTCAAATCCTGCTCACAGCGACAGCTTTGGATCCCAAAGACAGAAAACTGATCTAAGGAGACCAACTGAGAACTGCTTGTTATCTGTCCTGAAGAGCTTTGATGGTGGGGAGTTTAAGGCTTTGGACTTCAAATACAAGTCCACTGGCTGGTTCAAATCCGGCATACAGTGTTGTGTTAAAAATGAAGCTGATGGTGTGTATGCAGTTCCGTTGCTCACTAGCTCGTGGTTAAGTTGAAGTGAGATTGCAATATGACAATCCTCTAGGAGGTGGTTATTACAAGTGCGTTATGTTGGAAAGCTTCCCGAAAAAAGACAGCAGAATCCAAGTGTACCAACTGAGAACTGTGATGGCCGAGAGGTTAAGGATTTATGTCGGGAAGCTTTTCAAAACAAATACAGTAAAAGAATCCTTCTTGATCCAAGTGGGCCAACTTGAAACTGCTTGTATCCCCGCGCAGAATCCAATGGGTATTACCCGCGCAGGTTCAAATCCTGCTCACAGCGACAGCTTTGCATCCCAAAGACAGAAAACTGATCTAAGGAGACCAACTGAGAACTGCTTGTTATCTGACCTGAGGAGCTGTAATGGTGGGGAGTTTAAGGCTTTGGACATCAAACACAAGTCCACTGGCTAGTTCAAATCCGGCTTACAGCGTTGTGTTAAAAATGAAGCCGATGGTGTATATGCGGTTCCGTTGCTCACTAGCTCGTGGCTAAGTTGAAGTGAGATTGCAATATGACAATCCTCTATGAGGTGGTTATTACAAGTGCTTTATGTTGGAAAGCTTCCCGAAAAAAGACAGCAGAATCCAAGTGTACCAACTGAGAACTGTGATGGCCGAGAGGGTAAGGCTTTATGTTGGGAAGCTTTTCAAAACAAATACATTAGAAGAATCCTTCTTGATCCAAGTGGGCCAACTGGAAACTGCTAGTTAGGTCTTGAGGTGCTGTGATGGCCGAGAGGTTAAGGCGTTGGACTCGAAATCCAATGGGGTATCCCCGCGCAGGTTCGAATCCTGCTCACAGCGTGACTTTTCTATGATATACATTCATGTCTGTTGCAGACATGATCTAAGCTGAATTGTGATTGCATTATGATAGTCTTCTATGAGGTGGTAAAAGAATGTGTTATATACTGGGATGTTTCTTTAATTCGCTCCATGTCACTTAAGTGTCCATTGGCTAACCGGAGTTTTGACCATAACAGCCAAATATGAAGCTTTACTAAACTTCAACAGGGAACAACTAATCCAAGATGACCAATGAAAGTCCCATTGTTTTGTGCCAAGACGAGCTTTGATAGCCGAGACGTTAACTCGTTCGACTTAGAATCCAATGAGGTGTCCACCGCCAAGTTCAAATTCTGCTCACAGCTTTGCATAAGAAAGGAAGCTGATGGAGTAAATGCCGATCTGTAGAGCACTGAATCGAACTAAGGGGAATTGAAATTTCAATGTGACAGTCCTCAATCAGGTGGTTAAAACAAGTGCTTGACGTTGGGAAGCTTTCTGAACCGAAGCAGCAGAAGAATGATCTAGCTGGTCCAACCGAGAACACCTTTTCACGTCTCATCAGGAGCTGTGATGGCCGAGTGGTTAAGGCGTTGGACTTGAAATCCAATGGGTATTACCCGCGCAGGTTCAAATCCTGCTCACAGCGACAGCTTCGGATCCCAAAGACAGAAAACTGATCTAAGGAGACCAACTGAGAACTGCGTGTTATCTGTCCTGAGAGCTTTGATGGTGGGGAGTTTAAGGCTTTGGACTTCAAATACAAGTCCACTGGCTGGTTCAAATCCGGCATACAGCGTTGTGTTAAAAATGAAGCTGATGGTGTGTATGCAGTTCCGTTGCTCACTAGCTCGTCGTTAAGTTGAAGTGAGATTGCAATATGACAATCCTCTAGGAGGTGGTTATTACAAGTGCGTTATGTTTGAAAGCTTCCCGAAAAAAGACAGCAGAATCCAAGTGTACCAACTGAGAACTGTGATGGCCGAGAGGTTAAGGATTTATGTTGGGAAGCTTTTCAAAACAAATACAGTAAAAGAATCCTTCTTGATCCAAGTGGGCCAACTTGAAACTGCTTGTATCCCCGCGCAGAATCCAATGGGTATTACCCGCGCAGGTTCAAATCCTGCTCACAGCGACAGCTTTGCATCCCAAAGACAGAAAACTGATCTAAGGAGACCAACTGAGAACTGCTTGTTATCTGACCTGAGGAGCTGTAATGGTGGGGAGTTTAAGGCTTTGGACATCAAATACAAGTCCACTGGCTAGTTCAAATCCGGCTTACAGCGTTGTGTTAAAAATGAAGCCGATGGTGTATATGCGGTTCCGTTGCTCACTAGCTCGTGGCTAAGTTGAAGTGAGATTGCAATATGACAATCCTCTATGAGGTGGTTATTACAAGTGCTTTATGTTGGAAAGCTTCCCGAAAAAAGACAGCAGAATCCAAGTGTACCAACTGAGAACTGTGATGGCCGAGAGGGTAAGGCTTTATGTTGGGAAGCTTTTCAAAACAAATACATTAGAAGAATCCTTCTTGATCCAAGTGGGCCAACTGGAAACTGCTAGTTAGGTCTTGAGGTGCTGTGATGGCCGAGAGGTTAAGGCGTTGGACTCGAAATCCAATGGGGTATCCCCGCGCAGGTTCGAATCCTGCTCACAGCGTGACTTTTCTATGATATACATTCATGTCTGTTGCAGACATGATCTAAGCTGAATTGTGATTGCA